AGAGCAACAACAGCAGAAGTAGTCAGGTATCTAACTATGAGGTTTGATGACAGAAAGTCTGGTTAGAGAATGAATTTATAAACAAATAAAGCTTTCTCAGTCACTGCTGCCTTCAGACCAGTGGCGTGCGCTCAGGAGAGGGCCCCACCTGCAATTAATGAAAGAAAAAAGAATATCATGGAATCAATGGTATATCAAGTGATTTGTGCTATTGTATTATTACAATGAAACGTCGCCTTATTTCATATTTTTTTACCTTGAAATTGCAGATTAAACATTTTTTCTCATATTTGACAGAGCGGTGCGCTGTGATACAAGTCTCACGTTGACGTAAAAGCCTAAAGCTCACAGTGAGAGTGTGATCATTTGCAATGTTCAAATACATTTCCTTTACAAACATCATGTCTACAGTTTAGAGGTCGGGTCATGAATTGTGCTTTTGTCAAAACATATGGGTCTTTATCGCGCTCAACCAGGATTCGGCTGCATCGGATTTCACTAGAAAGCTCTTTGCATGTTCTCTCTCTTCTGAGGGAAGCTATACTGTAGGTTTGGCTAACATACATGTAACATATTTTAAAACGTTTTGAAAGCCACCAAGGCCAATGTTATACTTTTAATGACTATAGGAATGATCAGAGACAGAGCCGGCGCTTCCTATACGCAGACTACGCAGTATGCGTAGGGCCCCGCAGCTGGAAGGGCCCCGGAGTGCGGGGGCTCTCACTCGTGCTGTTACGAGGCCCTTCATATCCGGAATCACCCATTTGATTGGTTGTTAAAGTTGTCACTTGCTGTCTCCCATGATCCTCATACGTTACGTCCTTACGTCGCACTTTCAACCCTCCCCTCCCTCCCCCTTGTTGTTGTCAGTCGCACAGCCACAGCAGAGGCAGAGACGCTGAAGCAGAGTGATGAAAAAAGGAAAAAAGACAGCGAACTGCGGCAACAACAGACGGGTAAAAAAACGTGTGGTTCCCGACCCGACGCATTGACTGTCTGCAAAGAAAGTTGAATATTGTGTCTGACATGTTTTATTTCTGCTTTTAACGAGTTCCAAAACAACTTCATCAGTCAAGCTCTTTGTTGTGGTTACGGTGGACACCTTCAAAATAAACGTGCTTCCTTTGATAATCGGAAGTATTTTGTTACATTTGTAATTTAGACATAATACTAACAGTGTTTGTATAATGCGCTACTAATATTAATATTAAGGTAATATATTAATACTAGTGGTGATAATAATGAAACTAGTTATTATTTTTATTTTATATAAAATGTATATATGTATGTGTGTGTGTATATATATATATATATATATATTTATATTATAGCTAATATTTGTATTTTGTTTATTTTTGTATTTTAACATGTTTGTACACTTGTCTTTTGTACACAATTTATTCTATCCGTGCCAAATGTGACATGAACATTTCTCCTGAGTGAGATCAATAAAGTCTTACTTATCATATCTTTAATCGTGTGTGAAAAGTTCAAATGTTTTTTTTATCTTCGGTTGAATCCATCACTAATCAAGTCTTATATCGCTTGATTACTGTGAATTATTTATTTGTAATATATATGTGTAATGGAACTTATGCTTGCTTTAATTTTTATGGTTTCTTGAGTTAGGTGTATAGGGCCCCTATGCTGACTTCTGCTTAGGGCCTCAACAAGGCAAGCACCAGCTCTGATCAGAGATACCCATTTTTTTTTACCATTCAAAGCTGAGATGGACTTCTTTTCAACTCCAAGATTACTACATGATAGATATCTACACTCAAACCATTATCTTGACTTAAAACTGGAATTAACTAAAGTGGTGCATGGGGTCAATTTATAAGATCAGGCCCAAACCACACTTTTTACACACTTTTGCATGTGTGTGTAAATGTGATTGAGAGGAAGTCAGTGCCTCACCACACGTCACTGCTTTAGGTTCACTTTGTAGATCTTCAAATATCCTTCACGTCCCTAGTGTTATTTTTCTCTCCTATAAAGACATTGTAAATTAAGATTTGAACAAAAATACTTCACCCATTAGGTCCCTATTTGGCTCCCATACAGTTAGCAACAGGTTTGACTGTGCGCTAGCCTGCTCCTTGATCTTGATTGGCTTTGAGACAGATGCACAGAAATCCTAATGGTTGAAGAGTAGCTCTTTAAGATCTTTTTAAGAGCCTTTCCGAGCTTCATCAAACGGCATTTGAATGGTAAATGCCGTGTTGTTAACTCCTATGGGCATTGATTGTAACATGGTTGAGGGCTTATTCAAAAGATACAATGGATTTGATAGTGAAATTTAGGATTCAAACACCAGTTGTGAATATATTCAAAGTGTTCAGAAATACAATTCCAATGATTTCTTTCCATCAACACATTGACTTTGTAGGAGCCTATACTTGTTAGCAGAAATACTAATGGGTCCCCAACTTGCAGGAATACCGGCTTAGCAAACATTATTATTTGTTTTCTATGGAATGCAGTAGTTCCGAGAAAGGCTGATACTTCATTCATAAATTCATATTTTGGTGTGTCTTTGAACTGATTTAAAAGCTGGTCCCTTTGTCCATTGACTCATAATAAAGACAGTGAATGAAACACAGCATGGTGTGCCGGCCCCAGGGAACCCATCCTGAAGCTTGTCTGATGCCAAAGACCTTAGACGGGGCTGCAGCTGCGCAAATCAATACGTACTTTACAGCTGTGATGTATCACTGAGTGTGTGCAAAAATACAATCCAATGACTCTATTTTATTGAATACATTTTTTGGGGGTGTGCAGAAGGTGGTTTCCATTGAGAACTTTCATCCTTAGACATTTACTTTGATTGTTCTGTAGTGTAGCTTAGTAAAAACAAACATCTCACACCAAATCAAGAACTACCTAGAACAACATGTGTTATAAAACATCCTCAAATGTGGCACGCAGTGATATAAACTCAATTTAGAAATGACATGAACAAATCAAAGTTCAAACAGATTGGTTAAGTTGGTGAGTGTCGTCGTAATAGAAGTTATAGTAGTGAGGCATGAAAACGGATTTTTCTTTCATTACTGATCCTGAAGTTGTCTGTTACCCATAACTAATTATGAAAATCAGATAATACACTTGTAATTTAGCATTATTAGTTGTCATAGTAATTAACTTTTAAAGCAACATATTGTGGTTATACATTGTTCTAATTTATGTGTTTTTTTTTGTTTATGGAATAATATTTAAAAAAAAAACATGTTTAATAGGTTTTGTGATGTAATTATTGTGTTTAAAGACGGAGAAAGGAACTGAAAATAGTGCATAAACCAAATGTGTAAAAAAGCCTCCTATGCATGCTGCTCTACCATAATGCTTTGAGAAATGGGAAAAGGAAACAAGCTCAGATGAACTCAAAATATTGTTTTTGATAAAATGATGTGGGAACATTGTGTGATTTTTCACAAATATTATGTTGGACAAGATGAGGGAGGTCTTGTGTGGACTGTGACCTCGCAGAGCGGATCTTGGACTATAACAAGCCACAGTTTGTGAGAGACAGAGACTGTGTGTGACCTCCTGACCTGCAGTATCAGGGCTCCCAAGGGGGGCGTCTTATAAGCCCCTATAGGGCTGTTCCTCTTCACCCTCTGCAGTGCAGGCTTCAGACACAACACTGCCGGTGTCGGAGCGGTCTCCTGCAGAGGTCTGTGCCATCATCTGTCTCATCACTGGCAACAACACAGAGAACAGAGGACTAATGCAGGACTTTGGACTGCTGTCAGCAGAAGCACATCCTCATCCACACAGGAAAGACAATGGAGATCTGTTGATCCTCTGGACACAGGGCTCAATTCACAGCATATAAATGGCATGACAATATGAACTATGCCCTTTTTAGTATGTTCCCTTTAAATGGAACACTCCCCGTTGAGGTTTCAATGTCTGTGTTTTGTGCCCTCTCTCACCTGCTGATGCACATATTAAAAGTACAATAAATACTTAGTCTATAAAGTAGTTCAATCCAGTGTCAGCTATTTGGTCTGAACATATATGACTGTAGTTATGATACAGTCTGTTTAATTAGTGGCTGAGTGGAAAATACTCATGCTTTGGAGCAAGGTGGTTTGATATCAGCCTGGGCCTATAAGGTGGAGTTTATGTGCTCCTAGTCCAAGTGCTCCTGGTCCAAACCATCTGGAGATGGGTGAAATGTGGTATAATACACTAGTTAAGATATGTATATTTTTAAATATCTTAATCTATAAATCTATACATGTTAGTTATGTTGTTTTGTTCTTTTTCCCTTTGTATTTGCTTAAATTGAATGTATAAAATATAGATTTCATAATGATAATAAATACATGTACATGTTAACCCTCACGGGCTGTGTTTTTGTGTGTTTACATAAAATAGTCTTTCTGTACGACACAAAATCGTATAATCATATATCAAACCGCCTGAATGAATCGGCTTAATGGTCAGAGCACTCTGGATCCAGGCTGGGATTAAGAGAAAGTGAAATAAAAGCGCGCGCGATCAGAAATGACTGCGTTTGAGGGCGGGAGAAGACGCACGCACACAAGCACGGGGGCCGAGGATGGAGGGAAGAGAGAGAGAGGGAGAGAGAGAAGACAAAGAGAGAGCAGAAAGATAGAGAGAGAGAGAAAGACAAAGACATAGAGAGAGAGGGGAGAGAGAGAGGGGAGAGAGAGAGGGAGAGGTGGACAGTGAGACAGAGACACACACAGAGAGAGAGAGAGAGAGCGAGAGAGAGAGAGAGAAAGAGAGAGAGAGATAGAGAGATAGTGAGAATAAGAGGGAGAGAGTGAGACAGACACACGGAGAGAGAGATAAATAGTGAGAAAGGGAGAAAGAGACAGACTGAGAGTGAGAGAGAGAGAGAGAGAGAAAGAGAGAGAGAGGCAAGCGATCCATTCATTTCACCGGGGTTCTCATTGCTACGCGGATCAGCGCAGCATTTGCCTTTTCCAACCAGAGCAGAGGCGACTTTCACCGCTTCCACATCAGTCTCCTCTGCACATCTCACTGCCCGCCTCCTGCCTCCTGCGTGTGAGAGCCGCATCCAGAGGCAACTTCAACCGTTTTCGCTCCTTTTCTCCCGACTTGAGCTGCATCATGAACAGTTTTAGGGCACCTCTGAAACGCGTACCGCTGGAATGGTGGGGATTACACAGCCGACACCCGAGGAACATGTAAATGCACATGGAGTTTGGGATTTATTTCGAAATATGGGAAAGATGAGCGCCTACTCGTTGTGCTTGCTCTTGTGCGCAGATTTGCTGAATTTAGCCGTGGGTAAGTCACTGTGACCCTCTTCCATGCATACGACACATGCATATTTTTTGTGCGATTGTTGTTCTATGTTTACGTATTCATGCCTCAGCGTTTTATTTGTGCATATAGCCTACAGAGCTGCCGTAATACAACAAGCGAGGAGAGCTGTTCCGTGCCAGTGTCTGTTGCCAACTTTCTCCTTCACACCAAGCAAGTGGTTGTGGAAGAAAAAAAAACGTGCATAATGGTTAGGTTTTCAGTGAGTGGATGTATTTTCCGTGGTATATGGTACAACGCGCCACTATAAAGAGGCCTCGTTATTGAAGTCTGTTCTTATCTACAGCAATTTGCATGACAGAATCCTCTCCGGACTCAAGTGCACCCAATTCCTGTCCACTTCGCAGCTGGCTCCTCGCTTCCAGTAGCACACGAAGCTTCTGTTTCACTATAGATAAGTTTCGTATGAGTGTCGTTTTGCATGCATATTACAACACAGATGCAGTGAAATGCACATATTTCCCAGTACACTATATAGGCTGTAAAGCAGATTTGCGGATGCGGTATGGTGGTGTCTGATGTCACTATCCAAACAGTGGCAGTGATGGACTCCCTGCATGCACGGCATATGTTCCCAGTGGCTGATGGAGGAATTTAGTTGTCCAAATGGCGCATTCATATATGTGACTTCGTGGGCGCGAAAAGGAAACGAAAGTGTTTGGCTTGAGCGTGGTCAGGACCATGGACAGCGCATTTCACCTTCGTCTAGCGGAGAATCCTGCTGCTATTGACCTTTTCTGACCCATATAGGAAATCTTTATATCTTTGAGTTTTTGCATAATCTTTAGTGATAACGTGCCTGACTTGGTTTGAGTGGTCTAATGAACTATAACTATCACCTTACCACTACTGACATAGTCATTTAAACCTCTTATTGAACTTTTTTGACGTGCATTTGTTTGCAGATTAAGATTGAGAACTTACTGTTGTAAATCTCAAACACACCCGCATTACAGTGCAGTACAATATACATGAATTAGGACAACAAAAGTCATATATATTCGTTTTCAGCCTTTAAATAGAAGGGATTCTGTGTGTTGTGCTTTGCAACTACATACAGCTCAAAATTGCAGCCATTAAGTTGTTTCATGTATTGCAGTTGACCAAGTGTGAGATTTTTCATTGATCGTAGAGTCAACAAACTGTGAATAGCAGAATTTAAACAATCAATCGGGTTGGAGCTCCACTTAGCTGCAGACACACCATTCTGGACGGCAATTCCTGGATTTGGCTCGTGCCAGTATTCAGATGAGGTATTTATGTTTGCGATAGTGACCGCTATAATGGATCATTTTGTATATTAACTATACACTATAAAGAAGATGAAATATGGTCTGGAACATTAGAGAGTTTTGCATATTCTTCCCCCTGAAATTTAAATAAGGTCCAGGAGACTCGACATTCAATGACATTAATGGACATTGTTCATCTGCCACTTATGGACCAATGGCTCTATGTGTGTGTGTTTTTTTTAATCACTTGAAATCTTATGTTTAAACTATTTGGTTTTCTAAACTGTGTCGGCAAATCGACAGGTCTTTGAGATAATTACCATTGTCATGTAGGGCTATGCAAAAATACATTGAATTGAATTGAATGGTTTTGCTTTTCACCCTCCTCTAGTCACTCCCATTGCGTATAATCATATTCAACATCCACAAATAATTCACATGTTGTATTGAAGTTGTTGTCTGAAACAGAACAATGAAACCATGAATACATCTTTGGTTCAGCCCCAGTTGCTTGAAGGTTGCTCTCTGCACACCTCTGTTTGGCTTGTGTGTTCCCAAAAGGAGCACTGCCTTTGGACAGTGATTCCATCTCATCTGCTGAACTGAAATGTCATACATTTTTATTTCCCATAACAATTCAGGCTCAGGAAAAACATCATTGTATTTATTTACCATGTCTTTTGTATGCAGCAAAATGCATTCTATGGCAATCCTTTGAGAGAGCAGTGGTGTCACCTTTATGTGAAATGGCCTGATTCTAGATACGTGAGATGCACAGGTGCATTAAAGCCCCAACCAACACCCTCCATTCACTCACTGCATTTAGAACTATTGTGGATGTTTTTAGTGATTGAGGAAACCAGAGCATCCGGGGGAAACCTACATGGACACAGGGAGAACATGCAAACTGCACTCAGAAAGACCCTGTTCCGACCGGGATTTGAACCTTGGACCTTCCTGCTGAGAAGCGAGAGTGCTATCCACTCAACCATCGTAGGCAGTTTTATATTATTATTAGCCCGAGAAAATACAAAGTAGTATTGGGATAGGATGTTGTTATTGACGAGCCTAATACTCTCTTGGAGCTTTGCTCTGGGACCAACAGGAAGTCCGCCATGATGGTCTGAACTTTCTGCGCCAATTAGACTTTAATTTTTTGGATTCCTCAACATAGTTATTTTCTTCTTTATCACTCTAACCCCTACCATGTCATTTCTCAATCTGGACAGAATGAGGTTAAACAGTTTTCAAGAAAAAGTTAGAAATTCTACTAATGACGATCCATCCATCCATCCATTTTCTTCCCCTTAATCCATTTCTGGGTCGGGGGGGTGGCAGTCAGAGCTGCACCCAGTCCACAGAGCACCAGCCCCTCACTGATCCTCCTGCAGGTGGTGAGTCCACAGGAGCTGAGATCTTTCAGTGGGAGCTTCAGGCAAAGTGGGGTTAAGTGTCTTGCCCAAGGACACAACGACAGCAGACATCAGTGGGAGTCGTGAAGTAGGTCTTACGGTGGGCTCGAACCCACGACCTTCTGGCTCTAAGGCCAATGCTCTACCAACTGAGCTACTAATGACGAATAACGTCTTAATTTTGGCCGTTTGCGCTGAGCCCTCAGGGCCACAGGCTCAGACCTACACAGCTGAGACTCACTAATATTAGGTTATGGCCTGAATGTAATGACACTGAAATCATACCCCCAATGTGGACTCTTTGGTGACACCTGTCACAAAGTAATAGGGCACTAGTGCTCCGATCGGCCCGAGAATTGCTGTGTGTAATTTCTGAGCATTTTTTACATGATTACTGTTTAATTCTGTAAAAAGCATAATAGTGTGTAAACACACACTCAATATGACTCTAGAGCCATGACTCTAAAAATTTTCCAATCTGCTTTAAAGTCGCAGGGTCAAATCTTTACATCCAGAAGAGCAAACTATTCAGTTACGCAAAGGTGCATGTCCCACGGCTGACCACTAGGGACGCACTGAATCCATTTTTGTGCGTAACCCTGTTCCATCAGGCTGTGAATTCTTGAACAATTATACTGCATTACACTGATGGCGCCTGGGAGACGATCGGGAAAGTGACGAGGGTGAGGGCTTTAATCACACATTGTTTTCATGTACATTCCAAACCTCTTCAATCAATCAACCACTCGCACTCAACCGCTGGGGGCTGCCATTGTGGACTTGGGCAAGACACTGAAGCATTCATGTGGAAGCTGAAGCTGAAGACAAATAAATGTTTAAATTCTACAATAATCACATTGCATCCTAAATTAATCTTGCAAATCCAAGTTTAAGTCCTGTGGCCCTCCATATAAACCAATGATCGCTACAGCGCTAGAAAGAATTCACCCGTGGCTCAGAGAATAGACTTTGAACCAGCTCTGCTTGTGTACAAGTCTCTCCATGGCCTCGCTCCAAAGTACATCTGAGACATGTTAGTGCCATATGAACTAACTCACACTCACACAGGAGCACAGGAACTTGACTAAGCATGGGGAGGCAGCATTTCAGATGTATGCAGTTAAAATCTGGAACAGTCTTCCTGATAATGTGAGACAGGCTTCTTCGCTGACCATGTTCAAATCCAGGTTTAAAACAGTTCTCTTAGCTGTGCATACAACTGAGGGATTTTACCTGCACTCTTTTGAATGTACTGTGATTATTCATGATTTGAATCTTGTTTTGTTAAGCACTTTGAGGTGCCTTGTGCATGAACTTTGCCTTGCTTTAAGAAATGTAAAATGCTTACTGGGAGTAATGGTTTCCTGTGTGTTCCTGTGCACTGGCACTAGCTCCAGATGTGCAGAGATATTGTCTGAAGGGTGCGGTTCTGTGCCTCCCTCATCAACAGCCCGTTATATAAAGAGATTATACGTAGATTACACAGCGTTATTGTTTGTCCAGGCTTTATTTGTGTGGTCAGTCACTGTGAAGGACATTTCTTGGCTCTGTTTTGTGTGACTTTGTGCGACTGTTAAGCAAGATCCATTTTATTTCTCATCTCCAGTTTGCTTTTGCCATCTTGTGCGTCAGTTTTTAGAACGGGTTTTAACAGGAACTTGAAGTGTTTTGGCAGAAAAGCCAAGAGAATGTCTGCTCACGTGTTCCCTAACAGAAGAAACACTTTTTAATTTGGATTTTACTTATCGCTCTCTGGTCCATTAGCAGTGGGTAACCAAAATGAGTCAGCTTTTGTTGAAAAGCTTTTTTGGCTATTTTAAATATAGCCCAGAGCACTTTAAGGCAAATTTGTCATCTGCTTGGTCAAACAATTAAAATATGATTATGGTCGGTTATTGTATATTGCTTTATTATCATGTGTTAATCTATACAGGGACTTCTTATTATTATATGAGAGAGGATTTGGTTGCTGGTGAAACTAATCCTAACCCTAAAAAAGTTTGTTTCAAATCCTGCATGGGTTTGGTCTGGGGGCCTTTACCAAAAATTGAAAAAGTAAATATTCCCATCATATTTTTCGCAACATCACTGAGATAAAGTCAATCAAAACAATGTGGATTAACCATTCCATTATACAATATTACATTTTAAAGTTGCGCTGATCTACTTTTTTATTCAATTATGATGTTTTACTTTTTACTGTGAACACCAATTCTTACCAGATGAACCACAATCTGTCTGTACCCGTTTGGCTTTTTCTTCCTATAATCCGAGATTGAAGCAGTTAGGTAACGTCAGCCTTGTACTGTAAAACACCCAAAAGGTTATGACGATGAATAAATGTCAATTCGACCAGGGGCATTTAAATCTACTATGAGCACTCAATCGCTGCAGCTAAATGCTAATAAAGCAGTTAACACAATATTTAAACAAGCTCTTCTGCAAATTTAGGCACGCAATTCATTCAGGAAATATGGTCTCTGGCTTTCCAGCCGAAAAAAGACAAGTTGTTCTGTTACGGATTTACATTTGTCTCCGCCCAGGAAATGAAGCGATCACTGAAGTCTGTTTCATTTTTCTGTTAGAAGCAAAACTTACATTATCAAGAAACCTGCACCTGCAAACCACTCTTATGATAAAACAAATCAATGGCTGGAGGCTAGAAGTTTTAAAATGAATACAACTTGGGCTGGCAAAGTTATGCCTCTCTTTTGAGTTTTGTAAAGAGGAGGCCAAAAAAACACTCTCTGACCCTACACCTCCCCATCCCCACCTCGCCCCAGACCAGCTCTTTCACCCTTCTCCTCGCTCCCACCACCAGGGTATAAATGTATGTATGTAGTGTCAGATGAATTGCCAACCAACATACAATTCTAATAAAACTCCGCTTTTGTCTGTTCAAGTCTATCCAGATTGATTTAACTGCTTAACCGGACAACAGAAAAAGCAGAAAAAAATGCATTGATGGATGTAAATGATAACATAAGGCCCTTCTGTGTGGGTCTGTGATAAGAGCCGTATGAGATTTGAGTACATTTTTGAGTCCCCGTCTAATAGGAGAAAGGCACTTGTCGATGAAAACTTGGATGAAACCTCAGTCTTCATTCATTTTGATTGAATAAAACAGTCTGATGTGTGTAAAACGACAGCCACACTGTAACCCACATAGTTTAATCGCAATATGCACAAACGTTTGACACGCTTTAAGGGAGTAGCTCTTTTTGCTCTGATGGTGCTTGGACAGTGTCACACGCACGATGAGCCAGTGCATGTGGTAATTAGCAAAGACAAGTGAGGCTGGAAGGCTGGAAGTTCAAATGCGGCACTAACTTCCCGTTTTGATCCCTGCGGTCCTCGGCACAGACGTGGGCCAGATCACTCATGTCTGCGTGTGCGTGGGAGTCTTCAGCCGCTGGCATTTTGCTGAAATAGGGAAATGAATCAAGAAAGTATGCCTTCTTACAGTCAAAAGCTCCCTGATGAATACAGTGAAGAAATGAATTATGAAATTGACAGAAAGTACAACATTGTATGCTTGTATTTGATGATTGTTTTTATTTGTTCATATAATTCACTCCGCAGTTCAAGATCATGCTAGGACGTGTAGCGAGGCTTCAGTATCTTTTCTTTTGCTAAATTTAGTTTATTTTATCTTTTACATTCAAAAACGTGATCAGTTAGTTACTATAGTCAGTGCTATGGTAACAAGGACTAGTGAGTACCATTGCAACACACTGTTTACTCGCCAATAGTTAGCATTTGGCAGCAGTATTTTATGCTATATACACCAGTCTAAGCTCTAAATAAAAGTGAGTTAAGGTGAAAAAAAAAAAAAACTGGAACTTTTTTCGAGGGATTACCTGGTCTGAATAAGCCTGGCCTTAGCCATCCGTACACTCTGTTCAATCATCATTTCACTGCATGTAACGTCTGGGTCTAGTCCCTATGTTAGCGATTACAATCGGTTGAATTTTGACCGACCATTCAGAGAGCGCGGAAGGCGGATGTTGTAGTTAATTGTGGGTGATGTCAAGAGTTTGCGTCGAACAGGCAGGTTGTAGTTTGGCAATGGCGACGAATGCGATCGTAAAGTAATCCGGTCTGGTTCTATCAAGAAATTGAAGCCGGAGCTAGGGTAAAGTTTAGCAAATGTAATCGCTGGAAAAAATTGTGGCGCTACTCCCCACGGGCTCTGTTAGCGGCAAAGGAGATGGCTCGGCTAAATGCTAAATGCTAACAACAGACTCGGGCGCATTACATACGTCACGATAAACTAAGATCCAATCGTTTAAATCTGAAAAAGGAGTAACCTCTCCTATCTGTAAACGGAGCTCAATGGATCACCTCCAGACCTTAGTAACAAATGTCATTTGTACTATGGTGTGGTACGACCAGGGTAGGTCTGAATGGGAGTTTCAATTGGAGTCCTCGTGTTAAATATACACTACCGTTCAAAAGTTTGGGGTCACATTGAAATGTCCTTATTTTTGAAGGAAAAGCAATGTAGATAACTTTAAACTAGTCTTAACTGTAAAGAAATACACTCTATACATTGCTTATGTGGTAAATAACTATTCTAGCTGCAAAAGTCTGGTTTTTGGTGCAATGTTGTAATTTCTGCAAATAGAGGATTCTTTGACAAAAGCAAAGTTGGATGTAAAACAAATCTTATTTCAAATACAAATCATTATTTCTAACCTTTTCAATGTCTTGACTCTATTTTCTATTCATTTCACAAGGTATGGTGGTGGATAAGTGTGACTTTTCATGGAAAACACTTGGGTGACCCCAAACTTTTGAACGGTAGTGTGAGGCTTGGTTCATTAACATTTGCAAGGTCCATGCATTTTTGGACACGTTCCTTTGTGGCGGTTAATACAGGTCAGCAAGGCGGGAATAAAAACGTGCAGATGGTTCATGTGCAAATTAATGGCAAAAATCTAATTTATGTCTCATTAACTGTCTTATACTATTTCCTGAAAATTCCATTGATAAATAGTTAATTATATGGTTGCAAATAACAGTTTTCATAGTATTCATTGACATTTGTGCATAGAAATGTTATACTCAATTTGAGAAATGGTCCTTATGAAAGAATGTGAGTTGTGTGTGTAACCCTTCTTTCTCGGCACTGAGACGAAAAAAGAAAAACTCAAATAAATAACTCCGAGCAACAGCCAAGGGCAGCTTAATAAATGCTGTATTCTCATAATCTCCCATATGCATCTAATTTGATTTTGTCTATTAGGTTCTCATCTGTCAAACCATGTCCCTCCCCACTCCCAGAACCAATCCAGTTTTTTTGTATAGCGCATTTCCAAAGTTCTGTACATTAATGATAATTCAATGTATTTTGGTGTAGTCCAAAATCACAACAGTAGTTTTCTTGGATGACTTTACAAAACGCAGGAATGCAAAAAAAAAAGAAGTGTTTTATTAATGCAAATACAAAAATCCAGCGTAAATATATAAAAAGGAACAAAAATGGGACACATGTAAGAATGACGAAAAGCAGGTTGAAGGAATATCACGGTTTAAATACAAAAGACTAATGAGACACAGGTGATAGACATAAAGGCAAGACAAGCAACAGACAGCAAAAAGTAAAACTAAGGGACGACAAATTACAAAATAAAAAGCAAGTTATTAAGCAAGTAATCTTAATTTATATACCGCCTTTCACAGACCAGAGTCACAAAACGGTTTACAATTGTTATTTTTTGGGCATTTGTCCTCTCACTCCACACAGAGATGAGAGCGGGGTCGCCAGTACAGGAGGCACATGCCAGACCTATTGTACATATTTTTAGTGGTAGGGGAAACCGGATTACCTGGAGGAAACCAACGCAGACACAGGGAGAACATGCAAACTCCACTCAGAAAGGCCCTGGTCCGACCGGGATTTGAACCCAGGACCTTCTTGCTGAGAGGCGCGAGTGCTATCTACTCAGCCACTGGTCCAAAAGGGGTGATGACCAATGTCCATAAATGTTAACAAATGTCCATATATGTTGTTGAATGTCGATTGTAAAAAGCTCTCACCCATAAGCAAAATGAATGAAAAAATAATACAAAAGTACACATACAAAGAGTAGGTTCATATAGTCCCAGGATAACACGCCCGGGGAACCTCATGTTTACTTCCTTTTACAATCTTCGCACTCACCTCCTCGCACACTAAATCATGTAACAACCCTTATTTTGAAATGTGGCCAAGAACTTCTCACCGCACTATTGTGAAAGTGTCCTAGAAACTTCAGATTATGGGTGGAGAACCGTGAGACCGAGGCTGTTAAATGACGTCACTTTCGGATTGGCAGTGCGGAGCAAGTAGTGTATAAATGTATAGAGGATATACTGTAGTGTTGCCACGCATTTTATGGATTATTTCACTCCCGATCCCTTCCACGTTCGCTGCACTGTACATTGTGTCTCTCTCAAAAAACCACGACGGCCTCCATCTGCAATCACAGGAGCTGCTCGTAAAAAGCCTCATCTCCTGAAATGAGCCCGATAGTGTGTTACATCTGCCATTGACGATAACATTATCTGCAAACCCTTGATCCATGGCACAAACTTGTCGTACAAGTTCCCAGACTTAATCTCGCAGACACGTGACAGGAATTACACAAATATAATAACAGTGTGTGCATATGGATGATGGCTTTATGTTATGAATATTTCACTGTTTTGCAAGAGGAGCAGCTTAATATGCTAGTGCCGCTCCTACTCCCAAGGTGATTATGCTTAACTTTTGCCTGTTTGCTCCTCTGCTTAGAATTGTTGTATGAAGCAAACAGATCAAATTTATTCTAGGCCAATAAAACTGTCTTTGCCAATTTTCTTCCAAACTTTGCTGCACATCAAGTGGGCCGGAATGTGGGACACCTGCAGGTTGTCGGTTTGGGCTATTAGGGCTGGCCTCTCTTAGGATCTTGTCAACATTTTCAAGCCAATGGTGTAATTCCTGAGCCTTGGATCAATTTAATTTGTATTCGCCGGTTTCATATTATTTTAGAGTTGTTCTTTGCTGATGCTGGAGGGTCCAAGGACTCGACCTTCAACAACATTTATGAACTTTTTTTGGATATTGGTCATCTGCCCCTTATAGACCAATGTTTTTTGTCATTGCATTATTTTGTGTTTGATCTTTTTGGTGCACTGTTGGCGAATATGGCGATTTTGTAATGTCCTCCGCGCTAACTACTGTTGTGATTTAGAGCTATACAAGAATACATTGCATTGAATTGAATTATATGTCCACCAAATAGTGGATATTTATTGAATGATCATTGAAGTTATCAGTTGTCCATGACTTTGCTGGGGGATCTTATTTTTTGAATTGTAAAGCCTAGCGTACATCGACAGAGTAACTTGAGACAACTAGTTGCAAGGCGGCTTTTAGCAACTGAGAGTAGATGATGGAGATGATCAGTTGCCGAAATCGGTCGATGTGAGCGCTCTTACAACTGGAGATAAACAGTCGGTCTCCAGTTTCAGTCAGTTGCCCGTGTTCTACTTTTCGGCAACTAGTTGTCCTCAGATCCGGAAATATCACCCGATGTGCGCACTCCATGGCGTGCTCCAAAAACATGTGTGTATTGTGTGTATTGCGTGTATTGCGCGCCCTCTACAGTTTATGCCAGAAAACACACTGTAGTTGAGGCCAGTTGCTGTCGATGTACGCGCTGTTATTCCCGAGACTGGTCTGCTACTGGGAGTTGCCCGTTTTCGCCAGATTGTCCATGTGTGCGGGGCAGCAACTCATATGCGACGGATATAATCAGTTGCCAGTCCGATGTACGCTAGGCATAAAGCAAGTGAAGGCAAATTTAGCTGTTTAGCACAGTTCATACACCAGTCAACTCAAAGTGCTTGAAACAAGCCTTAGAAGGCAATAAAAAATCATAAAATATCACTGTACATAAGAGTAAAGATAAAATTCCTCAGTTGTACGCATAGCTAGACTGAACTGTTCTTAACCTGGATTTGAACATTGTCAGATTCAATCATTCAGTCAGTGCCTGACTCAAATTTTTATGAAGACTTTCTAGATCTTAGCTGCATAAATATGAAATGCTGCCACCCCATTTTTAGTTCATGTAGTGGTTGGATTAATGAAATATGGTACTGTGATTTAAGCGGTTTGAAAAATATCATCGCTGCCTTTATTACGATTATCTCTGGCCCTTAACCCGTCCCCTGTGGGTAGTGTTGTTTAGATAAAGACCCAAATGGTAGAGGCTCATTGAAACACAGCCACTGGAGAGGAGCCTACAGCAGCAGAAAGGAGCGTGGGGTTCGCAGTTTGCATTAGCACGACTTTATTCTCGACGTTCTTCTCTTGTAGTTGAGTCAAGGTTGTTGATGACACAAGTGTTGTTTTGTGTGTTCTCAAAAGCTCTTAGCCGTTGTTATT